AGTTGGTTTCAGGAAACAAGAAGAGAAGACTTATCGCCCTTGTTGAAGATGAGGCCTCAGACCATGTCACGGTAGTAGTCAAAATTGGACCGTATTTGATCGAAACCTTGATACGCGGCAAAGTTGACGGAGCGCCGAGCGGCTGTGATACTCGAGACGGTTGTTGGAAGAAGTGCCGAAGGAAGCACCGTAGCACTGTACCCACAAGGGTACGATGAACGTTGTCTCTCACCGCTTATCATATCTTGCACTACGACACCACATGGTACCATTCTTTCCGTTAGCTTCTTCGTCCTTTTTGTGCAGTACTTATACGCGTCAGTTCCCCGCTTCATACCTCAGCGTTGTTTCTCCAACTCTCGCTGAGACTTGTTCTAGCGCCGACAACGCTTCCAGTTTCCAAATGCTAGGGAAAGCCCAACATTCTAAGTTGCTGCTATATTGATGTTGTTGCATAGTAAGCGCTAAGCGCCGCTCGAGCCTTCAGCGAAGTTCTGCAGGATTTCCTTGGGATTTCCTCAACTATACGCGGCCTCGGTTCGCAATTGTTTGTTCATGTTGACAAGACGCAGTTTGAAATGGCTTCTTGTCTCCCGTGTTCGATTTCTCTTTCAACCTTTGGAGTCTAACAAAAATCAACCATGAATCTGGCAGTGCAATATATCATCATCATTACATCAAGTGCACATTGAACATGGTGCGCTTTGTATCGGATTTGCTCTATGGTTACCATATCTTTGTTCATCGTTCTGATATAACCATGATAGCCTGCTTATAACGTATACGAGGCGACGGATAAGATGAGATTTATTTGCTCCACTTTCGACCCACTCTGTCATGCTTTCCTGTTTGAATTCTCTGGTGCTGTGTCGCACAATGGGCCCCTTGCTCCATAAGAGTAGTCGAAGGACTGTTCGACTCTCAAGGCGGGACCAAATGTTCATCTCCATCATGCAGATTTTGGAAATAGAAAAGCTGAACAGCAGTATATCTAGCACGAACGTCATCGTTATACACTCCAACACTCCCCACTGACTCATACCCATCCCTCGAATATGACCGTAGTCTTAAATGATCCCAGTTTGTGGCCGATAATCGATTCAAATATCTCTTATAGCTATTGGACAGGTTTGTCGCCTCAAGATGTCTAGATCTAACATTGACCTGCAGTTTCGCAGTTGCCGCAAGCATCGTGGTAGTATATGATTGGGGTGATTTCTCCAGGGAATGATTCCAGGATAGTGGCATTGATTTCATCCACATCAGTGTTCTTTGCAGAAAGAATGGTGCGATCCAGGAAGTATGAATCATTTAAGGGAGGACGATCAGGGAGCAGAATTCTTGAGTATAGGGCATTAATGAGAGACTGGAGATCATTGTTGGGACACTGCATGCGGGCAGGGAGGGTCACAGTTCCATCTTCATTTATGCCCCTACCAGCTCCAATCTCAAGAAGCCACCTTGCAAAATCATCAGAAGCGGGATCTTGACCAAGACACATATTTCTCTTGAGATGGAATATATGAAGCCTTGACCAAATGTGAGATCTGAAAAAGGTAGCGCCCACTATCTGCTCCCTGGATCCATGAGGCACCACCGGCAGGGTCTGTCTGAAGTCTCCTCCAAAGAGCATGGTCATTCCTCCAAAATCAGCATCAACATTCAGAAGATCACGTAATGTGCGGTCAAGGCATTCCAGGATGTGGCGGTGTAACATCGGAATTTCATTACAAATGATTAGGGAGGTGGCCTTGAGAAGCTCATGAAGAATGTCTCCTTTCTTTATGTTGCAAGAGCTGTCTTCTCCAGAGCCAGGGGCAGCAGAATACATTCTTCCAATTGCAACTCCATGCTGATGTATCTTCCAAGCAACTTTTTGCCACACAAACTTTGAGAGGAAATCCTGGTAGAGGAGATCACGGTGTAGAGACTCATGCCTCTCATTGTGCAATATGGCAGTTTTCACTGGGGAGTACATGGCACGAACTTGTAGCATCACTCTGTGTGCTACCCGCAGCTATCTCTATATGAGGCGCAGCTTTCCCGCGCTTCACGATGTATATGCGCGCGCGCTTTCCCGCGCTTGAGCGCCCTATAGCGCCAGCCATCCGGAAGCATCCATCCACTGTCCACCAAGTTCCCTAGTGCGTATATTTCCATTTCTCACATTTGCTTATCGTTCCATCTTTATTTTTATCATGGACCCTTACTTACATATATCTTTACATACCTTACTCGGTAGCGCTTTGGCTCCGCATGACAGCGCTTAGGCGCCATACTTAAGCGCCAGCAGTACATACTATGACTGACGAACTTACTCTCCCACCAGAACGACAGAGGACTTACTGGTTACTACCCACTATTCACCTAGCAGAACATAGTAGAAATCTATTTGTTTACACCTCGCATCTCTCTTCTCTTGTCTTACATCATATCATCACTTAAGCAAACTCACTCTTACTCTCTCTCGTATCTGTACACACACGCACGCTTTCCCACGCTCCGCACCATACACGCGCGCATTCCCGCGCCTTGCGCGCACCTGCGCTTTCTCGCGCTTCGCATTGGCCAACCAGTAGCGCTTTCAGCACATACCTCTAGATCCTTGCTGCACTCGCTTCCCCTTTAGGGTCGAATGCACTTGTCGTCTCAAGTATAGCAGACTAGGCAACACACGACCTTACAACAATTATAGATACAGTCAGGAGCACTGTTCGTGCCTTGCTGTATCGTTGAACCTTCAACTGGAGCCCACCACGAGGGGAACAGTCAGCAAGATCTAGTTCCGTGCACCTTTGCACTTAGCGCCATTTAGCACATATAGGTCAATCTCTTTGCATTTTCACAAGCTAACCATCCTTAGTCACGCATTCTCGCGCCTCGCGCGCACCTGCGCTTTCCCGCGCTTCACATTGGCCAACCAGTAGCGCTTTCAGCGCATACCTCTAGATCCTTGCTGCACTCGCTTCCCCTTTAGGGTCGAACGCACTTGTCGTCTCAAGTATAGCAGACTAGGCAATGCGCGACCTTACAACAATTATAGATACAGTCAGGAGCATTGTTCATGCCTCGCTGTATCGTTGAACCTTCAGCGTTCCCATGGCGCAGTAGGCGTGAGGATTACTGTCCACTATATCGCGTTTGGCAGTATTTTCGGACTTGTAAAAATTTCACTCAATTTGTTCATTTACACTCTTCTTACTTAGTCTTAGTCTTAGTCTTAGCGAGTCCATGCGAGAAAACCACACGAGTTTCCAAAAAGAGGTTTAAGCGAGGTAAGTGAATCTAAGCGCATCTAAGCGTATCTATGCGAAAGCCACACGAGCGCCCGACCGTTCCCAAAACCATCATACTTTACTTCTTAGATATTGGAATACCGTATTCTGTGTATGTATCGAGGCCAACAACTTGGCACCATGCTAATAGCTCATCTCTTACAAATTACAATTAGCATCAATGTTCTGGGTATGTCTCATATGTGCCGTGTTTGATTCATCTGACCGGTGGCACACAGAATTTATGCCATCTATCTTGCTGACAGATGCAGTGAGTATTCCGTAACCGTCTCATTTATATCCAACAAATACACTCATTTGTAGGGGTGAGTGAGATTCTGATCATTGAACTTGGCTCAACATAATGACTCAATAGGTGTAAGTCGGAGTGTTTGATACTAGTATGAGGGCGTTCACTAATTAAGTGTTTTAGGCAATTCTATGAACTACGCACTGAATTGGACAAATGTAGTCATAGCTGTCCTGTTGTGCAGTGAGTTACCTAGCTGCAATACCTCTGTGATGTTCACTCGGCTGAAAAATGATGCAAGTTGTTGTGATTGCTCGGTTATATGCCATGTATCAGGGATCTGTAATGATGCTCATTTTCCTTGTTGTCATATTCCTGGCTGTAAACATCGCCTGTACAGTAATCGCGGCAATAGCAAGCAAGTATGTTATAGCGGGTAAGTTTTACTCATTGACTTGAAGAACAAAGCTCATTGGACGAACACCAGAGGAACTGATACTCTCTGGTACGTATATGTGTGGTTATGAATATGAAGGGGACGTCCAGCTTCTGATTTCAATGATGTGGATGCTCAACACTGCTTGGGAGGTTCTCGCACTGTGTCTTTCAGTCTGGATTGCTGCGATACAGTTCCGTGGCTTACGACAACTCGGTCCATCAACAGGAACGACCATCCAGAACTGTTTCAGAGTACTGATAGAATTCCATGTGCTTTATTTTGCATGAGCTTGTAATGTGAATGGGGCTATCTTTTCTTCTCAAGTTCTGCATGTGCTAGCTTTGCTGGTGTCTCTTGCCTCCAGCTAGTTAGTCACTCTCCAGAGTTCGAGGTGTGCCGACCTGTGGTTGATACCTGCGTGTAACCACTGCTCATTGTTTCTGTAGAATTCATATTCTATGGGAACTCAGACAGTTGAAGGTGTTCTTCAGATTTTATTGTTCGTACAGATGTTTGTACTGGGACCACGCCTCATCCTTAGTGTTCGAGAATATCACACCAAACTTGTGGCCAACTCCGACATAGAAACTAGCATGAATTCGATTGTCTTCAAGGAGCACGTACAAGTATTGACTAGTAGTACTGTGTAGAACATACTGCCGAGTGGTCTGCATGGAGGAGAAATTTGGTTGGGGATCTGTTGTGGTATTCAATTATTTAACATATGGTATTTTGAAGTATATCCAGAGGTCTGGGCAACCCTATTTCTTGTTGTATCACTACTGGGACTTGAAATAGCTATGCTTACACCATGACCAAGTAGCAGCTTGAACACCAGTAAATTACTTGACTTTGTGCAGCGCTGTATACCACATCAGGAAAACCACCGGTTACTTTTCTAACTTAATTTGTCACTTAATTACACGAAAAGAAGTATTAAGTCATTTGAGCGAAAAAGCATGAGCCACTTAATTAAGCCCACTCCATCTCTGAATTTTCGCTTTTTCAACACTTATTTTGCTTAAGAAAGCAGATAAAGCGGCACAAGTCTTTCATAAAACAGGGCATACTACACGATAAGCAGAAAATTAAGAAAATAAAAGGTGAGACAACAGCATAGGACATTCTGAAACTGTCTCCTCCATAACGGAAGGAGTGCCAGGCGTGTTAGATGCGCTTGGGGGCTCAGTGAGGGAGGAGCGCTGCGCACGAGCGTCATGTTGAGAGCGCTTCCGGATAATATCGGATTTCATACTAATGGGATGAGCAGAGCCGTGAAGCTTATAGTAGAGGCCGCATCTGTATGTATATAAGAGATTGGTACGAATATAGAAGGAACAACAAATGAGAACTTACGCATTGCAAACAGTCTTGCCTTCATCGTCCTTCCTCCACAAAGGAGTTGCAACCAGGACTCACCACCTCCACGACTCAGACCGGTGTCGCAGAAGAAGAAGAATGCGGTGGCACTGCAGCCGAGGACAGCGTGGACAATGCAGAAGCCAAAGATGATGCACCACCCACGTCGTCCTACTAGCATGCATGGACTTTAGATGCGGACATTTATGCTACCAAAGAGAAGAGAAACGAGACGTCCGCTCAGCAAAGTCCATACAACATATATAAATGAAATAATACTCACCAATTTACAATAGAGACCGCAAGCGTGATGAGTTACCTAGTTCTTTGCTAGTAGAGCATGTATCGGGAGTGGGGGTTTGAACGAGTCAGTCAAGCTCAACGAAAAAAAGACTTACGAGGGAGTGTATCACAGACCTGTGCCTCCTTCAATTCTTTTGCTTCATCCACATTCTTTTGTGCCTTGGTACATCTCTTGACTTGTGCATTAAGCACGATCTGACCAGGCCAGGCAGTTGCGTTTGATGGACGGGTACAATGAGGGATATCTGTTGTAGACATGACCGAGGAGATGGGGACACTGAGGCGAAGGCTTTTGCTGGAGTGAGATGGCAGGATCGTGAAGGTTGGAAGTTTGAAAATTTTGTAAGTCCCCAAACAAGTATCAACTGTGGCGCGCTATATTGAACTTAGAGTTACGAACAGTATTCGGCACAGCTCTCAAGGCTCTCATACAGTTTGAGTCTGTCTTGTTATGATTTCCTGGTTCATCCCTCCATTTCTTTGCACAACGGCACTCATTCACCATCTCAGAAGAATATGATGTGCATGGGTGCAGTCTTGTTACAATTTCCAGGTCCATCCCTCACACAACGGCACCCATTCACCATCTCGGAAGAATATGATGCGCACGGGTGCGGTCTCATTACGATGTCCAGGTTCATCTCTCTATTTACTATTCTTCCCCTCCAAAACATGCTGGCCAACACATTTTTGTGGTACTAGCAGTAGTATTATCATTTATGACTTATTATACTTAATATAACTTTTCTGGCTTTTTGGTGATCTGACTGGGTGCGCCCTGAATTTGCTTTTGCGAAAGTCTATTAAGTTGGAAAAGCAGTGTTTTGACTTGCATTTACCAAACATCAAGGGGCAAAAAGTGACATAAGTGGGAAAAACCAGCCGGTGGTTTTCCTGATGCAGCTTGGGCCCAAATGTATGGACCGAGCGTTGTTTACAATTTTCATCTGCTAAACATGAAGTCAATGTATTTGAAACAAGTAAGCTTAAGCAGTCTTCAAAAAATTAGCTTACCTTTACAAAAAAACAAAACAAAAAACAAGAAACACGAGTTTTGTACCCTGCATGCTGCATTTGCGGAATGTGTCGATTGCAAGACAATGTAGTATGTAGCTAGGCACAAAGTAGCTTTGTGTATAACATGTTTCTGTAGATTTCTGAAAGTCTAGTGTTCAAACGAACATTCACTCAGCACTGGGCCTCAGGCAGGCCTTCATCACCAAAATTCCTCAAGTCTGAAATTACCTTATGCGGACACTTTCCCGCACCACAATCTTTTACGGACTGATGACGCGATGACAATTGATGGCAGGTTCAACAACACTCCCTCAGACATACCTCAACACCCTCCTAAACACATAAGGCTGCCATCAGTCTGACATGCCCCTGGTAAGTTCAGATTTCCCCTGATATGTTATTACCGTATCAACTGACCAATGTGTCACACGACAAAATCATTACATTGTCGTCAATTTGCATCATGTTACTTGCATCGTCGATCGTGTTTTCGTCAATGCAACAGTGTTACATTTACGCGTCGTTTGGTGTCACACAGCTTACTCTGCAGCTGGGCTCTGCTTCTCATGCAACATTCTGTAAATATCACGAAGTCTTGTGTTTGGGCAAGTTTTACTACTGACACCAAAAGTTAGAATGTTTTGGGAATTCCAGGCAACTCCATTTCCCCCCTTTCTTCTTACCACCATCTTCCCAACAACTTGTCCCACCGCTGCTGCCTTCCTCCACTGATTCCACGAGTCTGAGGGTTTCGTGGATTCAGGTAGTATAAAAGGTATTTTTCAACGCATATACTCATGTTTACTAAGTAGATGAGTCTATGGGCCCTTTTGCCACAGTCGAAGGTACATCCCCTCTAGTGACATCGCCGACGGTTCAATGTATTAGTCGTCCCTATTGCTTGCCTGCTCTTGCCTGCCTCGTTGCCTCACGGTCGTCTGCTCTTGCTTGCCTGCTCTTGCCTGCCTCATTGCCTCGTGGTTTGCTCTCGCTTGCCAGCCTCATTGCTGCGTTGTATTTGCTGCCGTCGTGTTGATCCTGTCATGTTTCGCATTGTTATCATGTTTTCTGGTCGCATATCGCATTTTCTGATCGTGAGTCGAGGGATTTGTATTATTAGATTATAGCACAATTGACAGGAATACAACCGATTTTGCGAGAGTAATGCGGTGAATTTGATGATCACGTGCGTTATTGATACATGAACCAAACATCACGTCAATAACACCAAATATTGATAACATTATCTCGTCGGCAGTCGCGTCTTAACCCTTAGCCCTACCACCACCATGTTGGCCTGTCGCACTCAAACTCGTCTGATCCCTATTCTGATTATTTCTCATCGTATGGGACTTTACTTGGAAAGTGTGAGCACCCTACATATACATCACCGGAGTCATCACTAGTGCCCTTGAAAGTCAGAACATGGAACTTTGGAGGGGTAAGCCATCACATAACGAAGTTGGAAGAGCAAAATCAAGTAGTCTAAGCATCCACAATCGTGAGTTCTCAGATTACATGCCAAAATATAGCGCATATATTGACTTTATTTGATCTCACAGTCTTTTGACACCTGACCTCCCTGAGCTTGGGTGAGTGATGATTGACCGGGTAAGAAGCTCACCAGGTTACATTCCTTCGCATCTGATATCTCTGCAGTTGTCTGATCTCCAGCTGCCGTCTGGTCAATCCTGCCCAGGATCTTTCACCTCACTTCACAGCAAGGCCAAAGATCTTGTCACTCGACGTGCTAGACAACCCAAACCCTCCCAAGTGAATTCTCCCTTGGCAGGTAATCTAATGAACTATTTGATGCAGAACTCTGCGCAGCTCACAGTACCTGAAGAGGGAGCCAACGAGCTTCCGAACATGGGTGTTAACCATCCTAGACTAGCGCAATCTAGGTGCGTCTAAGTTTTCGTTTATCCATGTATGTACATTGCTGACAAGCATCTTTGCTCATTTCTGTGTGCTTGTGCATGCCTATGCCTATCTTGACGTGTCTGTGTCCGACGTCTTGTGCAATAGGTACAATTTTTCACATTTATAAGTTATAACTATAGCTGATCATTTGTGTAGGAACTTACAATGCACAATACCGGGTATCATTTACATACCAACCCAGCCGCACCTGGTGGCCGCCTCTGCTGGTCTTACATCATGTCATGTGCGTAATTGTTCTTGTGGTTAGCGCTGGAAGGCTGAGTGCGCGTCTTCAGATCCCATTGCCAAGTGGTCTTATCATCAGATCCGCTGACCATTCGCTGGCCGTCAGGAAAGTAGGATATGGATTGAATCAACTCTCCATGACCCTTCAAAGTCGTTACTGGTTTCAGAATCGATTTCGTGGCAGCTGCCTTTGTCAATGTGGAAGCCATGGCTGCGTCTCCACGAGCGGTAGTCAAGTACAGGAAAGGTAGTCGTTGGGTACATTCGAAGGTGAGGTCTCCTGGTGTCAGTGTACTTTATGACTGACGTGAGCAGCAATTCGAAGATGGGCCCTCTGGTAAAGCCAAACATCAGTTCATTTGCGCTGGAAGTCCAGATGAGATTTTTGTGTTACCGAGAGGTTAGCGAAACTGGAAGCATCCAGTCCTGGCATCGATAACAGCAACTGGCACCCTGGAGGTTGTCATTGGCGATGTGTAGACTATGAGAGCGTGTTCGAGTCATAACTCCGCAACCCATGCAGATAGCAAGCCTTATTCAGAAGGGGTAGATGCGGGTGCTGGTGTACGGTTCATCTCATTGTCGACACTGATTTTTCTCACTCAGGATGTGTCTTTCTCGTCTGTCTGTCTGTCTGTCTCATTTGCAACATTCAAGCCGCTGTCCACTCATTGCATGTTTCGCTCTTGTCGTCGTCCCACTTCTCATTCGCAGTTCGCATTCAAGCTGCTGTCTAATCATCCTCTTGTTGTCGTTGTCATACCGAGTCTCCTTCAGAAGCTTTGGTGCATGTTCCACTCTTAGATGTACTTTTACTGTCTGCTCATACCATGTAATGCAATACCGAAATGAAATGGTCTTATCAGAATTCATCACCAGATCAGAACATATAAGTAGTATTGGCATATCAATGCTTCTAAGCTCAAAATCTGCGCTAAGGTATGAGTTACTTACCCAACTTCCGCCATCTTATCTTCAATTGAGTTTCTCAACCAGATCTTATAAGTTGTTTCCCCTGCCTTCCGCACACTGATACGCCTGGTGCACCTTTTGCGACCTTGTGCATCCTGGTCAGTCATTATCAGCCCTTATCCGAGTTGGGGAATTTCGGTGATGAGTTAACGCTCGCGAACCGCTTGGAACGACCACGTGATGAATAAAAGGTTACACTGGACTGTCGAATTCCTAGTAGGAAAGAAACATTGAGTAATATTGGTATTGGCCAGGGTTTCCGCTATATTCTGCTGCACATGGTACATGTTGGCATCATACTTGAGATAGTTTACTGTCAATTGCTTTTCAGGCTGTTGGTATGAATGACGTCACCCAAGAGCACGTTTGTACAGCTAGTAAATATCAGAACAGTATAGTGCAAAACTAATGAAAATTTGAGTGTAATACATCAACGGAGTCATGAAGAGGGAAGGAAATGATATGGGATGACGAATTGAGCTCATGAGTTGAGTGTCATAGAAACCCAGCTTGACACCTCGAGTGATGGTGGTAGAGAAAATGGCAACACTGGGTCCAGGTCTAATTGCGTGTTATGCTATCACGCAATATTTTAGTGAATGACGGCGACCGTAATTCAAATCACAAACCTTACAACACGACGGGAAGAAGATGAGGCATTATACGCTCACATAATCGTGTGACATTGCGAGGGAGCTAGCTTCCCCCAGTTGCCGGCGCAGAATATGCGATTGACCGCTAAAAGCTCTGCATATGTCATCCTCCAGCCGGCAAGTGATCAGGAATCGGAGGTTTCTTGGAAGCTCGGCCCCTTTCTCCACGAGGGCACTCAATACTTCCTTCCTAGCGGCTTCATTCCCTCCCATCTCCAGACCGTCAATGATGACCAGATATGGTCCGTTCCAAACGACATCCCTGGAGGGAGCGAGGATAAATTCCTCAAACTGCGTCTTCGCCACCCGTGTCTTGCGCAAACTCGTATCATTTCCCACGGCCCTCCAGAGATTCTGCTTGAACTGAGCATTACGATCTGCCAGATCACGGGCGATTGTTGAGAACAGGTTTGTGTAGCTCCGGGTGTCGTTGTGCCTGGTACCTCGAAAGCAATATGAAGAACCAAGGCGTGACGCGAATTGAAATCGTTCTCCAATCACTAGCGCGATGGAGCTGCACGACTCTACAGGTCCGGACAGGACGCAGATCCTCTCTGATTCCTTGCTGTCCCCGATAACCCAGCTCTGCAGGGATGTTATGAGGTCAACCGGGGGCGCCGCACTGTTAGCCGGTAGATGAACGGCATATGATGCAGCACATCTAGCATCTATGGCGTAATGCATGTCGCGAAAATCTGCCTTTGCGCCTATTCGAAACGGTATGAAGATAGAAGTGGAGAAAGAATAGGATGACTCACCGAGATCTTGAACATCTTCTAAGATTTTGAGCACAGTGAGCTGTGTGGAGACGGCCATATAGTTCTGAAAACTGCGTTGAAGGTCTTTGAATGCATTTTCGAATTCTTTGATCTGAGATTCCACGTTCAGTACTGAATTCCTGATCACTT